GCTCTCACTGGTACTGGGTAAATCTGATAAACAACCTTGCCATTGCTCACATTAGTCCTTTAGAAAGATCTATAATGGTTTTTGTGCAAAGATAATGTGTATGTCGAGTGTACCAGAGCCCTCTTTGGGTGACCTCCAATTACTGTGTCTTTATTAATAGAAGCTCTTCTTCTATTTCCTCTTATTTTGCAGCTCAATTACAGAGACATTCTTTCAGCTTTTATGTCCTTCCCATTTGTTTATGACTGGTTGGGGAGTATTTTCAGGTGGGGCACTGAAAATCCAGTTGGTGATAAGGAGTGTGGTCAGTCTGTGTCTTCTAATTGAAGTGTGTGTCACACTATTATTTCTCAAAACAAGAAAATTGCAGTGGGGACAGAGAACATTGATTGTAAGTGAAGTGCTACTAGAAGCAATTAAAGGGCGCAGAAGGTGAATTTCATTAATGCTGTGTTACTGTGAGCACTCAGCCCCTTACTAAAAACCATCCGGTAAATCTCATTTTCCTTCTTGGGTGGTAAAGGTCTCTGGAGGTCTCTGTGGGTCTAATGAAACAGTGGAGAAGCTGGGTGCTGAGGGAAGACCAGGGATTGCACATAGTTCCTCTTGTGACTGCTGATGGATGTTTGAAAGAAACCTTCTAAAATAATAAGATGACCTCTTCTCTACTGAGATCCTGCACTTCAGGTGCAAATCTCTAAATGTGATAAATGGGAAAAAGAAGCAATTAATTGAACTAGGTGATAACCTGCTTATCAGAGAAAAGGTTGTTTTTAGTCCCCAGATTTTCAGGTTTATCTTTTAAAATATATATTTAAATTCCACCCCTTCCCAAATACACTTCAACTGAAATCTTCTATTTGGCATAGTCTTGACTGTCAAAATGTTTCATCACGCAAACACACACACACACACCATGTAAACAGCTAATATTTTAAAAACAGACACACTCTCTGCAGTAATCGTGCGTCAGACAGCATATGGCTCAGAGCCACTAAAAAGTCAAGTATTTGTGAAATGTTCTCACCCATGTTGTCTGTTGAGGGTAGATCCCCCTTAATGGGGATGCACCGAATTGCTTCCAAAACACTTTGCATGCTAAGATGATCCAGTCAATGGGACAAGAGATGAGACTCTAGGGAGAAGGCTTTGAGAAGTGCTTCTATCTCTGGGAAGCACTTTATCTGGTGTTGCAGATGTGTCTTGCCAGCACTAGCATCCTGTCCGAGCACTCTAGGATCTGCACTCTGTATGCAGCTGCATGATGTTTAGTCAGTAAACATACCAGGCCTGTCACTGCAGCTTCACAACAACTTTCCTGATGAAATTCATTTTTCCAGCCATTAATATAATAACCATAATCAATCTTCTCATCGCCAAGCACCAGAATCCCTGTTACAGCCAATACTCAGTGATGTGAAGTAACTGACATGACAATCAGATAAATACTGTGTTAAGTGGTACTAAACAACAGTGACAAATGGCATGTTATACACACATTTGTGTGTCTCCTTAAATCCAACTTTGAATTCAAGGGCATCAGATTAAAGTCCATTGTCAAAGCAGTTGAGTAATATGGGTGGAGGTTGTCGTGTCTTTTAGAGTGTTTCAGTATTTATGCCTAAACAAACCACAGCAAAACTTAATGGCTTAAATAATAATGATGTTTTATTTTTCATGATTCTGCAGTTGGTGCTGGGTGATCCTTTGGTTCCTTGAGTAGCTGTCAGGGCTAGAAAGTCTAAGATGAGCCATTCGCTCTACAGCTTCTGCCTTAGCTAGATGGCTGGAATGGCTGCGGGCTGGCTGGGGCCCTCTCTCCTTCTCTCTTCCTCTCTTCATGTGTCCTCTTTGGTAGGTTGCTGACCTTTTTTCATAGTGGCTCAGGGATGCAACTGAGAACATTTCAAGAGGATGAGCCCAGTGTGAAGTGCTAATCCAGCCCCTGCTTGGATCATGCTTGCCATGTTACACTGGGTGAACCAAGTTATCTGGTCATACCCAGGGTCAGTGTGGAAGGGGATGACAAGATGTGTGTGCTGTGGGTGTGTGCATGTGTGCATGCACTTGCACACACACACACACACACTCATATGTTTGCATGCACCACCTGGGGACCAGAGTATGTCCTCCTTTCTCTGTTACTTCCCTTCCCCCTTTTTTCACTTCTTTTTCTCCTCTTCTCCTTCTGTTTATATAATTTATATATCATAAAGTCTACCTGTTTAAAGAGCATAATTTAATAGTTTTTAGTTTAGAAAGTTGTACAACCATTACAAGTCCATTTTAGAATATTTTTATTATCCTCAAAAGAAAATCTGTACCCATTAGCACTTGTATTGCCCCCGCCCCCACATGCCCTTCTCCCAAGCATAGGCAATCACTAATCTACTATTCTGGACATTTCACATAAATCAGTTTACACTATATGTGGCATTTTGTAACTCATTGCTTTTGCTTAGCATAATGTTTTCAAGGTTTAGCCACGTTATGTTATATATAATTACTTCATTTCGCTGATGAATAATATTGCATTGCTTAGATAGAGATACCACATTTTGCTTATCTATTCATCATGATAGATACATAGATTGTTTCCATTGTGTCTATTATACGATAATGCTGTGAAAAACATTCATATATAGGTTTTTGTGTGGCCATACATTTTTATTTCTCTTGGGTAGATATCTAGAAGTGAAATTGATAGGTTGAAATTATATGTTTAATATTTTCAGGAACTACCAAACTGTTTTTCAAGTGGCTGCATCATTTTACATTCCTGTTTGTTTTTGTTGTAACAGAGGAAAGATAATTCCCTGTTTAAGATGGCTTGGTAAGGAGATGGGGTAAAAGACAGATGCTATTGCAAAACCACTTTTGGTCCTAGAACATTATAACTCAGTGGTTGATCTCTGATACTGAAACAAATAATGGAATTAGCAGAAAGATCTGAGCATTCTGGTGTCCTAGATTCTAGACCAGAAGATACCAGGAGGGGGCCATGGCTGTGGCCAGCAAGCTCTGGTGTTTTCTGTACTGTGGCTAGGTTGGTCTGTGCTTGGCATCTCTGCTGTTAGCATCACCCAGGTACTCCCACCACAGGATGGAGACACCAGGCCTCCAAACACTGCCATGGGACAAACAGAGGGAGCTGTGAACACTCTGTGAGAGTTTAGTAAATCTGTGGTGTCTAATCAAGTTTATTTTCCAGGCTTTTCTGTTTTGCTGACTCCCATCCTGGCCAGTCAAGAATCTGTGGCCCAAATTCCTGAGGTAGACCTGAGAGCAATCCAACTCAAAGCGCAAATTGTTCCCAGCACAGATCCCCAATTTGCCACATTTTATTGCATAGAACCAGTTTCTGCTATCAGAATCAGGGGCTCTGTGGAGCCCAGGAACTGAGGGGAGACATGCTTGGACATGGAACTGCCTCCTGTTAGCCATGTATGGGGCTGGATCAAGAAGGCAGAATTTGTCCATCCACTTGGTATGCTTTGTTTCAGCCCACCAGACCCCCTCGCTCACCTGCACCAAGTCCCTCTGGATTACCATCCGGGACAGACAGACTCCATCTATAGCCTTGGATATTACAAATATCTTCATAAAAACTGAATAAAATAAAAAATAGAAAAATATAGTTAACTTTATCTTATTGTATCATAAAGCACTTCATATGGATAAAGAATGGGCATTTCTCTGGGCTCCTAACCTCTCTGTATTGAGTTTGTCCAACTGCTGTCTACTGCAAGAAGGTCCAGGTTGTTGAGGGAAAGCTGTATTTTTTCACAGTTGCCTTGTAGATGCCCAATCACTGTACATCAGAGAGCAGGCTCACAGTGGCATTTGAAGATGGAATGAATAGGTAAATGAATTAGGACAGTGACATAAAAGAGAAAATTGGGTTTAATGGACTCCTCTTTGATGAGGATCCAATCTGGTTTATGTAACTCCCATATGAGAACCATGGCCCAAGAAGTGGATTTTATGGGCAGATTGGCTTTTATAAGGAACAACTTCCTTTGCATTAGGATTACTGCCTGAGAAAGAGGTGAGCTCAGTCATGTTCACTGTAGTTCCTGTTCAAGTGGAAGCCAGGTATTTATCTGCAGAAACAAAGGAAAGAATTGCTGCTGAAGAGCTGGATGGCCTCTTTGGATCTCTTCCAACTCTGAGGTCCTCCAACAATGGTCATGAACATGACTTTTTATATGGGTAGACAGGGAAGTCTTTGGAAAGAAATGAATCCTCGTGGTTGCATTTGATTTGCAGGGAAACCAGACGAAGCCCAGAGGAGAGCACCCACTGCCTTCAGCCTCACAACCCTTTCACTTTCAGGGATAAGAACCCACCCTTCCATCTCCCAGCCACATCTGCAGATGCCTTAGAGCCCAACACTTCCTTCAGGGTGTCTGCAAATAGAATAGAGAGGTCTTTGATATGACGGTGGGACTCAAGGACAGGGGCTTCTTTATTTTGTAGGCAGGGTGCTTAGTCAAGTGGAAAGGAAGAATGATCAGGAAAGTCAGTGTAAAGTAAGAACTTAGAAGGAGAAACTAGAGGAAGTGAAGTAAGAGGCTGAATAAGGAGAAGATCTCCAGGAGGTTGTCTTCCTGAACCCTGGAAAACGAAGTTAATTGTGCAATGCAAAGGGGCAAGCAATGTTGATGATGAGACAACTGAATGGACAGAAGAAAAAGGCAAAGGAAGTGGAAAGAAGAGCCAAAGTCAGGTGCAAAAGAGAAATTGCGGGTAGACCAGGTTTGCTTTTCCACCTACAGTGAACCCTTGGATTATGACCAGCCTGACATACAACATGGGTTATGACTGGAATTTTAGTTTTAACTTATGACCAAAGTCTTGAGTTACGACCCAAATGTTGGCTGCTTGTGCTTCCAGTTGGTCTCAGATACAGATTTTACCCTTAAAGAGTTCTGAAAGGAACATTACAACATCCTTCCCTGTATGGGGTTAATTGAGAAATCCTGGGCCAATTTCTCTTTAAGGACACTGAGATTTTCCTGTATACAGGAGAGAGACTTTGAAGGCTGTGTAGAGGAGCCTGAGCTTTTAATTGACCAACCTGAGTGACAACCAGCTCTCTTGAATGAATCGAGTTTGGAAGTCAAAGGTCCACTGTATTTGTATCCGATATGAGCACTGGGATGATAGGTAATGATGTCTATGATTTCAGAGAATTACATACAACTATTATACTCCCTTCTCCTTCTTCTCAGGTGCTGTCTCCAGGACCAACCTCATGGTTTCACTATAGACTTTAAGGGATCACGAGGAAGGAATAATGGTGCCAGCAGGCACCTGGGAAAGGGGCTGCAGAAGAAAGAATGGTTTCAAGAGACCCTTGGGGAAGGACTCCAATAACTGACAGTCTTTACTTGCTTGCTTGCATAAGTGCCAAACTGTCTGTTGTTGTTTATTTGTTTCTTGTTTATTTCACAGGACCACGTACACATAGTTGCTTTCTGATTTGTGGTTTAACCTTGCCCTGTACTTAAAAGGACTGGGTCCCAGGGCATCGTGGCTGTCTCACATGGTTCCCTAGCAACCAAATGAGACAGGGAAATGTGCACAGTTGCATCACCACAAGATGTTAGGTCAATTAATATTCATTAGAAGTGCCTGTGTTTGACTGCTGGGAGACATTATGGAGAAAAATATCTTTGTTGCTGGAGTGGGGGATGGAAGAAGAGAAGGGACAGTGAATATGTATATTATATACTGCAGACATGTTTCTTATATTAGTACATTGGCCCATTTGTACATGTATGTAAAGATTTTCAAAAAATTATTGTTTTTACAATTATCCTTCTAGGTTTATTATATGGGAATAGATTTCAGAAACAAAGGAAGATTCTACCTCAAGGTATTTATCTTGGTCCATTCATGATGCCTAAAATCATATTACTAGTAATTACTTTATGATTTTTTTCAGACTCTTCTGTGTGCTTAATGTAGGAAACTCATTGAAAATATAAAAATATATAAAATTAGTATAAAACAAAAAACCCAGAAATTTCCTGTATATTCATCATATAATGATAATCACTATTAACCTTTTGGTGTATGTCCTTTAAATGTTTTAGAGATAATACACAGCTACATACAATTTTAGAAAAATAATATTATTCTGTATGTACTGTTTTATTAACTGAATCTTATAATTTAGCATTGTTACTAGGGATATTTTTTTTTTCCTTATTTGGTACCGGGGATCAAACTCAGGTCCTTGCGCTTGTGCAGCAGGTGGTGAAACCACTGAGCTAAATCCCTGGCCCTACTAGGGATATTTTTATGTGTGTATAACATCATTTTTATTAGTTGCATGATATTTCAGTGAGCATATTTTTTATGGTTCATTTAACCAAATTCCTGTTTTTGGTCATGCATTTAAGTTGTTTATATATTTTGCAATTATCAACAATACTGCAGTGAATGTCCTTGCACATTCATCTTTGTCCAGTATTTTTTAGAACTAATTCCAGAAGCAGAATGACACATTTAAGCATCTTTTGTATACTGTCATGTTTTCTTTCATAGAGAAGGGAACAATTTAAACTTCTACCGATAGCATATAAATGTGCCATGTGATCTTCTTTTTAAATGACCTTGGGGAGATCATGATGTTCCCCATATTTTACCAGAGACTTCCCTTTATGATACCAAGACCAGGGCCACAAGTCTTTTGAGAGAGAGGACACCAATTCTAGAAGGGGGGGATACGAGGCTGCGGAAGATTCAGGATTTTACTTTGGATGGGCCAACTGTTTCAGGGAAATTTATTCTTCCTTCATAGCTCAAAAATGCAACCTGAAACCAAGTTGCATAAAGGTGCCCCTTGTGATGATGATATACTCCGAATATCTCCAGCCTCCAGTCCCATTCTGTATTCTGGACAGATCATCTCCCCGGCACACACAACTGGGAGGTGTGACACCCAAACCTTCCCCTACAGCTCTGAGTTTTGTCTCAGCCCCAGCATGATGATGGGAGGGGGTTAAGGAGAGCCCACGAAGGTCAGCAGTGGGCATGAAGGACTTTCCTCCGGAAAAGAGAAAAGGCAAATGTCAGCTCCCTTGGGAATCTTGGTGAGGGGACAAGGGTAATATTAACAAAGGCCAGGGAGCACCTGTAGCCTGAGAAGTCATTCCAATTCTGTTCTAATCTGGGAGAGTTGCCTTTTTACTCCTGGTTAACAGAGGGCACCTCCCACCCAGGTAGGATAGGAGGAAGAAGAGAGGAGTGGGAAAAAAGCTATTGGCCCTTACCTTGGTTCTCTTTAAAAACAGGTCCTGTTTAAGTGTAATCAAGCACCATAAATTGAACTACCAAATAAATGAAATCAATGCAAACACTGGTGCCCACTGGCTAGACTGGGCAAAGGAGCTCACTCTGGGGAAAACTATCTGGCCTTGACGATCTGAAGGCTGGGGATGAGAATGAATGGCCAGGCATGGGACAGTTTGGAGCAGCAGCTCTCACAGTGTGGTGTGTGTCCCAGCAGTGCCAGCATCACTTAGGGCAGGAATAGTGAACCTTTTAGAACTTTCAATGGTACAAACAGCCTGCTGCAGCACACGTACCATAGGTTCCCCACCACTGACATAGGGGCTTAGAAATGCAGCTACCTGGCCCCTCCTAGGACTCCCAAATTGAAATCTCTGGGAGTGAGTAGTTCTGGGAAATTTGAGATGCACTGATGCAGAGCAGAGGGGATCTTAGTTTTCAGTCTTGGCTTTACTTGCCATCCTATGGGACGTCAGGCGAATCCTTTCTTTCTTGGCATTATGTGAAAAGGGGAAACCTTATACTTTTATGCTGTAATTCCTTTCCTTGTTTGTGGTAATCTGAATAAGGATGTGTGTGTGTGTTTGTGTGTGTGTGTGTGTGTTGCTAGTATGGCCCAATTCTTCTTTTCCTGTCCCCTTCTCTCCCATGAGATAATAAAGCTTGTTGAAACAAAAGCCCTGAGTAAAAATCAACCAATGGTATTTGCTGTGAAATCCACTGGAGAAATGGATCTTGAGGTTAGCAAAGAGCTGCTTGGCAGCTCCCAGAAGGCTGACAGATTTCCCTAGAGAAGCAGAAGATAGATCTTCACAATCAGGATTGCAAATGAAATACAGGTTTGGATTGGGGGTGATTTGAATTCGTGGATCTCTGTCAGCTTTATCACTTCAGAAAATGCTCATTCCAGTTTGAAATACTTTTTCTTTTCTTCTGGAATTGATTCGTTAGGCTTCTAGTTCAATAAAACATCACTTTTCTTGGTTTTAAGGGGTATTATGGGTAGAGCAAATTAATGAGGTCCATTTTGTTTTGGGCTGCTAATGCACCTGGATTCAAATCCAGCTTTAACAAACAGTAGTGAATATATAACCTTGGGAAAGTCACTTAGCCTCTCTTTGCCCCAGTTTTCTTATCCATAAAACAGGAATGACAGTAACAGTCTCTACCATAAAGTACTGTTGTAGGGATTACATGTGATATGCAAAGTACTGAGGATGCAGCTTGGCCTATGTTTGCTCTGATCACTATTCTCATCTTTCCTGCTCAAATTCGACTCATGTCATTTCCATGCAGTACAGCTTTGTGGGAAAAGGACTCAAATCAACTTTTGCATCATTTCTACAGCCAGAACCAGCTGCATTTGGAACTAACTGCCTCTCATTTGTTTACAAGGTAACTGCCTTCTCTCTTTTCATCTCCCTCCCACTTCCCTCCAATTTCCATTTCTTTTGTGAAATGGTTAAAGTGCTTGACATAATTAGCTGTTAATTGTTAGCAGCTGTACCCATTATCAGTTTAATGCCTAATTAATTGCAACAATTAATGCTGCCTGTCCTGTCTTAGGAACTGTTGATGAGGGAAGGCTGGTGTTGTTGAAGTTATATCTTAATTAATTTACCTCCAATTTTTAGCATTTAACTAAAATCCCAAATCAGGGGCTATTTTCTCATGAGTAAGTGAGGAGCAAAAGGTAACAATGCAATTGTAGCGGCCTGGATCCGTTCTGTGTGGGTTGAGCATTAGAACATGTATGTGTTACTTTATATGATAAAAAGAACTTTGAATATTTGATTATGTATCTTTAGATGTTGAGATTATCCTGGATTATTTGAGTGGGCCCTAAGTGCAACCTATGTATCCTCATAAGAAGGAGATCTGACACAGAAGAAGAGGAGAAGGCAACAGGACCAAAGAGGCAGAGGCAGAGATTTGAAGGATGTGACCATAAGGCTAAGAGTGTTGGCTGCTACCAAAGCTGCGCGAGGTAAGAAGAAATACTCCCTTAGAGCCCCTGGAGGGCACATGGTTCTGTCAACAAGAGATTTCAGGCCAGAGATACTGATTTTGGACTTCTGGCCTCTGGAATGCTAAAGGAATAAAATTCTCTGGTTTGAAGTCATTGAATTTGTAGAAATCTGCTAGAGCAGCCATAGAAAACTAATACATAAAATTTAGGTTTTCCATAATCTCTTTACATCATCCCTGAGCTTTGGTAAAGTTCCTTCAATCATTACAAGAGGTAACAGAAAAAATTAAAAGAACTAATGATGAGCACTGGAGTGTTCCTTTTTTTTTTTTTTTTTTTGAAAGAATTATCTGGTTAAGGGATTTCTTGGGGGTATATATACAACTGATCATAATGACTTCAGTGTGGTAAATTCGGGATTAAGTCGGAATGCATATTTCAGAAATCCATCAAACTATAGCTTAAACAAAAGTGATGTTTATTTTTTGAAAAACCCCAAGCTGGTATGCCAGACTCACAGACGGGTTAGGAAGCAGGCTCCTTCTGTTTAATTGTTCCAGTGTGTCCTTATGCTCATGGTCCAATATGAGTTCTACCCTCTGAGTTTCAAGAAGCAAGATGGAGAAAAAGTTGGAAAGAACAATCTTCTATTTGACTTTGAGGGAGGCTTCCAGAAAATGTCTCACACATTTCTGCTTATGTCTCTTTGGTTAGAAATTGCTTTCATGATGGTATAGCCACAATGGAGGATTTGGGTTGAACTATTTTATTTGGGTGACAGTGTGCCCAGCTAAAATATTGGTTTCTCTTAATAAAAAGAAAGAGGCCAGGATTTAGCACAGTGGTTCTGCCGCCTGCCTCACAAGCGCAAGGTCTGAGTTTGATTCCTGGTACCAAAAAAAAAAGAGATGGGGATATTTGGAGGCAACTCACCATCTCTGCCTTACCAATTATTTAAATTCTATAGTTGTATCAGTGAGACTGTGGGAGAAGGATCACATTATAATTAACTGATGTGTGGGTTTAAAAAAAAATGCCTCACTTAGAATACATTTTGATTCTTATGCTACAATGTAAATCAGATGTTTGGTTGCAAACTGGAAAGGAACCATGAATGAGTAGATAGAATGACAATGGGTCTGAAAACCATAAGGAAGACAAGAGGAAACAAGTTGTTTAGGTGAAGAAGAGATTTTTTTTTTGGTAAGGACAAAATAATCTGTTTTCAAATAAACTCAGGGCTTATCCTGTGGATATGAGAGTGAACTACATCTGTGGTAAGATGGGAAGAAAATGGGATAGAAGGGAGGGAGGCAGATTTTAGCTCAGTATTAGAAAGAACTTTCTAATAGTTAAGCCAGCGATGGGACAGCTAACTCCCAGGGATGTGCCTGCCTTTCTGGGCTGGCCTTGAGGGATTGGAGGGTGGGCCCTGATCAGAGGCAGGGCTGGAAGACTTGCCTTCTGATCACATAGCTCAGTGGGGAGTCTCAGGGAGGCCCCTAGGAGCTTGTCAGATATCACAGTAGGGGAAGACACAGCCCTGTGGGGGGACTATGTCTAATTAACAGTTAAATGAATGAGGCTGAGAGGAGAGAATGTTCCATGCTCAGGGAAACAAGGCAATGACTGTTGCTGGGATAAGTCCTGGGGGTTATGCCAGCATCCCCAGGACATGATGAGGAAGTGTGGCTCAGTTTGGAGCTGAGCCCCAAATATGAATGACTCCAGGTGTGTGTGTGTGTGTGTGTGTGTGTGTGTGTGAGCTCATTTTATATGACTCTTGCAGTGCTGCACTTGATAGGGACAATCAGCCAGTTTCCAGCCTGGCAATCTGATGTCCAAGGGTCAAAGGTGAGGGTCAGAGGGGAGGAAGAGGCCTGCATATTTTCTCTGTTGAAGTCTATATGGAATTAACTAAAGACTCCTGGGGACTTAATGCTGAAGTTTCTCTGAGAGGTTGTGACTTAGTGAATGCCTTCAGGCTGGTATTTTTGTGGGTATTTGGATTATGCTGGCTCTGTTGAGAGAAACTCATAAGTAAATGAAAAAGAAATGCCTCTCTAACCAGAAAAAGCACATGGTTCACTTTCCATCAAATGATGGCTCAGGTCCCACTAACATCAACAGGACTAGAGAGAAGATGAAGCATGTGTGTGTGTAAGCCTCGGTCCTAGGAACTTCTGATGGCTTGGCCTCTTTTAGATGCAAGGGGTAGAAGTCACTTCAAACTAGCTTGAGTAGAAAGGAAAACTTCCTGACACTATGCCATGAGATCTCTCTCTGTGTCTCTGTCTCTGTCTCTGTCTCTGTCTCTGTCTCTGTCTCTGTCTGTCTGTCTCTCTCTGTGTCCACTCTCTAATCCCCCAGCTTGGCTTTGATTCTTATTGGCCTGGATTTTCTAGTCATCGGGAAGAAATGGCTTAGGGAAGTATAGACCCATAGCTCACATTCCAGCCACCCTCTGACTTCATCCCTCCTCTCTTCTTTAGCCAGATGCCAGCTGTATCCTAGAAAGTTGCCCTGATCAGAGAGTTTTTGGAAACAGGAAGCCCTTAGTAAGAGCTTGTAGACAACCCAGCATGGTCCTCAAGACCTCCCATGCTTTCCTTCTTCAGTTACCCAAGAGTCTGGGGAGGTTAATTTGTGTATTCTCAACCAGTTATCTTGTCATTATTTCTGATAGCAGTGCCAGAGCCCTTTAACAACTTAATGTGGTGACTTCTCCTAAGCCCTGGACAGGAGTTGCAGCCAAGGAACAGCTAGTATGTCTCAGCACATGGACCTGAACTCCCTTCCCATCATGCTTCCCGCCTGGTCTTGACCTCATACCTTCGACCCCTCAAGCCCTGGACCCAGGTCCCTTTGCTTTGTGCTTATCAGACGCCTGCTTTGGCCTCAGCCTGGAGCTCCACCTTAGAATCTCCCCAACAAAGACAGCCTGGACTTCTGGCAGAAGCTGTTTTGACAAATGCTCAGGTGCTCCTCCTCACCTCTCAGATGCTATGGGATTCCTGTTTGCTCTGCTTGCCCAGAAATCACATGAAGCTGAGGTTTTCCTTTGGGACAGTACCAGGGCACAGTGAATTAAAAGATTCCGGACAGATTTAGTGAGTAAGAGAGATTTTAGGAAGATTGAACTTTTAAATTGTTACCATGTGTCCCTATGATTCTTTCCTGTAAGAATCAGGGATCTCTGCTGTAAGCAAACAGAAGCCAATTCGGGCTGGTTAAGCAGGAAAGGTTTAGTTAAAGAATGTCTGGGAAGCAGGCTCGAGTCTACACATCCAGAATAATGTTCCATTGCACATGGCAGAACTGGCCTAATGAGAAAACTGCTGAGGCTGCTGCTGCCGCCAGCTGGATGCTATGATTTGTATTGCTGCCAGGAACCTGACCATCACTGCTACTGCTCCCTTCAAAGTCCATGCCACATCTGCCCCTGGAATGTCACCTTGTCATCCCTGCAGCCCCCCTACCACCTGCTTGTGCCTTGGCTGCAAAGGAGGGCAAAGAAGTGACTACTCTTGTCCACATTTGGAAAGCATTTCCTAAGGGTAGGGAATACCTTCAATGTAAAAAAGGGTTCAGAAGGTGTTAGAATACTTGACAACTGCTTACCACACTGCATTTTTGTGAGAAAGCAGTTTCCACTTCACCCAGAGGTACTGCTTGATAGGATCAATTCAGTGACTACATCCTCAGAGGGGAGCTGTGGATGAGGGAGGCCTGCAGGGACAAAGTCTGCAGCAGAAAACACAAGTTCAAGTTTCTGGTGCCCATGAGGGGATGGGGGCCTGTATGGGTACAGTGATAATGTCTAGGCATTTTCCTATGTGCATCTGCAGGATAGATGGTGGGATTCATCTTCAGTCTCACTAGTTGGTCCTGGGCCTTCCAGCTCTGGGTTGCAGAATGCTAGAGTAGCAGACTTCCCAGTGTGTATCTTTCCTAGAGTTGTTTGAAGAAAAACAGTAGGTAACCATCTCAGATTCATCTGGAAGGAGGGTGAGAGGGAAAGTGATTAATGGAGCTCCAAAATGAGACTTAATCCATCAATGACAGGTCTTTGTCATGATATTCCCAGCAACATGTGTCTCCTATCAACTTTTGCTTAGACACTGGGCTACCCAATAGCTGAATAAAGCTGGCATTATTGAATACCAGGTGTCAGATTCTGTACAGAAATTTTATATAATATCTGTTAATCCTCATGGAAATGCTATGAAGGGGAAGGTAATTTTATCTCCATTTTACAGTTGAGGAACCTCAGATTTAGAGAGGATAAGCACTACTGATTAGCCAATGCATTACTGATTAGCCAGTCCTGGCAAAACTGGAGTTTGAACCTCAGCAGCCAAACCGCAAAGGTCCTGTTGCTAAGCAACCTCTCTAGAATCTGCCATAGAAAGGAGTTTGGGTCCCCTTAAAGAGGCATGGATTATCCTTTCCTCGTCTAGGGTTTTGTCTAATTCAAGGCTGGAAAAATTTAAGCTGTGTAGAGATACTTATGCAAGGTCTTGCACACAAATATAAATTGTAAACCTAGCAGTACCTTGCCAGGTCACACAGCCCATCATCCACAGATGCTTCCATCAGGAGCTTAACTAAGTCACTAGCTTCAGACCAAAGGATGACGAGGTGTTGAAAAGCTGAGACTAAAGGCAACACCTTCTAGCAAGTGTTTGAGACTCTGTGCAGTATTTGGAGGATTTCCAGGAAGCTGCTCAAGTGAGAAAGAGGATTCAGGTGTCTGGGGCAGAAGAAGGAATCACTGAGAATACATGGAGAGAAGGCCCTTATAGGGAAAGTATCAAATGAAGACCACTCAGATATGTCTCAGGGAGCACCATGATGTTTCATTTCTATGTAGATCTGCGTCCAGAGAAAAGCAATCTACCACCAAACAGCAATTCAAATCTTTACCTAGATCTCTTTATGAATGCTAAGAATGATCCATTTCACAATCCACAGTAATAGTTCTTGGAAGTCTCCTTTCCTCCTCCCTAATTGTCTCA